CCTCCATTCCCCCAAAGGTCCAGCTGGGAGAGTTGAATGGCAGTTTACACAAATGGGAGGTTTCCCAGCAATCACACCTTTTTATGGGTCCCTTGACACCAGATTAGATCGTGTTTAGATTGCCTCATTCCTGGCTTGACAGCATCACATCTTCGATGGGTCCCCTAGCTGACTGGAGGGAGAATCCTTTCAGCTGTCCTCCAGTTGGGCTGGAGAAGGGTGCAAGGCTAGGGTGGGGCTTTCAGGGTGGGGTCCCTCTCTTGAGGCCCTGGGAAGGGACCCAGCTGGCGTCCCTCGGAGTGCAGCGGAGTCTGCAAGCTTTGCAGAGGGTGGGTGTGATGCATGCTTTGGGCATGGCGTGCTGAAAGGACCTCTCCTCCTGACCACATCATGCTTTGACTGTCATGCTCCTCTAATGTGTCGGACTTATGATTTGACTTTGGGACTGCTCCAGAGTCCCTCCATGGGGCCCTGTTGGCTGTTTCCATCTGTTTCTCTAGGGCTGTTTGGCCTGGCCTAGGCAGCCTGGAGGAGCAGGAGAGGCAGTTTGGTCCAGTGGTTAAGGCACCTGGCTGGTAAGGGGGAGACTGTAAGTTCTATCGTGGCCATGAAAGCCAGCTGGGAGACGGTGAGTTCTAGTCCCGTCTTAGCCATGAAAGGCGGCTGAGTGATTTTGGGCCAGTCACTGGGAGACTGTGAATTCTAGTTCTGCCTTAGGCATGAAAGCCAGCTGGAGGGTGGCGGCTTTGGGCCAATCACTAGGAGATTAGATTAGTTTAGTTTAGTTTAGTTTAGTTTAGTTTAGTTTAGTTTAGTTTAGTTCTGCCTTAGCCATGAAAGCGTAGGAGACTGTGAGTTCTAGTCCCACCTTAGCCATGAAACCCTGCTGGGTGAACTTTGGGCCAGTCACTAGGAGACTGTGAGTTCTAGTCCCGCCTTAGCCATGAAACTCAGTTGGGTGAACTTTGGGCCAGTCACTCTCTCCCAGCCCAACACTCTGTTGCCTGCTGCCCTTTTTTTAAAAAACACCCTACCTTCCATCCCACATGCCAATTGCTGCCTTTTGTTGACATGGGTTGAACTTGGCAAAGCGAAGCTGGGTTGCAAGTGGTGACGATGAGCTGTAGATGAAATTGGGAACTGAAAAAAAAGGAAAGATTCCCTCCCCAAAAAGGATCCCGCCAAAGCTTTCCTGTATTGTTCCCCAGAAAACTCCACAGAAGATTTTCAGGTGGTTATGAGTTGAGTTTGACTTAAAGGGGGATTCGCCTTACAACTGAAGGAGATTTGGAGGTTGCCCCAAGGTCTCTGGAAGGGCCTAAAATGGCTCTTCACTTTTATTATAATGTACATGGTAGAAGGAGAAGGTTGAAGCTGGTGGATCTTATCCAGAACCTTCTAGTCAGCTGGTGGTAGGATCTAAATACATGGAGAGATGTCCTCTTTTGTGACTTGATGTTATGGAAACTGGCTCCCCTTCCCACAACCGAGCTGAGAAATGACACGGGTGTCCCAACTCAGCCTTTGTGTCGCCGTTCCAACTCTGTTCCCACCAGGTTCAAGTGAAGGAGAACCTTCTCCGGAGTCCTTTGAGAAGAAAGAAAAGTGGGAAGACTTGGGATCTGCGTTGGTTACCCCACAAATCCAACTGCATTGGTTTCCCAGCTGGTAAACTGGACCTTGTGGGCCCAAGCGGAATCCCCCCCAAAGTCCCCCCCTTTTACAGAATTAGCTATTGTTTAATTTAGAAAAGGGAAAACACCGTTGGTACACATTTCAGCTGTGAGGGGGTGGATGGGAATTTCCTAAATGTATTTAGGTGATTTTGAAGAGAGTTTAGGCTCTCCTATGTAGCATCACAGTGAATATTATCTTCCATCCCACCTTTATTATTTTTACAAAGAACTCAAAGTGAGAAACATATCCAACACACCTTCCTCCTACAATTTTCCCCACAGCAACAACCCTGTGGGGTGAGCTGGGCTGAGGGAGAGAGGGACTGGCCCAGAGTCACCCAACTGGCCTTCACAGCTAAAGTGGGACTAAAACTCTCCATCTCCTGGTTCTTGGGCCAGAGTCCTGCTTTCTAGCCTGGAGCCTTAACCCCTAGACCAGGGTTCTCCAAACGTGGCAACTTTAAGACTTGTGGACTTCAACTCCCAGAATTCCCCAGCCAGCGTGGCTGGCTGAGGTAGTCTTAAAATTTTAAACAAGTCTTAAAAGTTGCCAAGTTTGAAGAGCCTTGCATTAGACCAGTGGTTCTCAACCTTTTTAATGCCGCAACCCCAACCGGTCGTAAGTTGAAGACTACTCAACCGGTCGTTAGTCGAGGACTACTCAGCTGGTGCAGCACCGTTTGCAGAATGGGACTTTTGGCGGGCTCAGCAGGGCAGAGACAGCCTGGACAATTCCTATTGGCTTTTGAAAGCCAATAGAATTGGACTCTATTCAAGAGAGCCTATTCTATTGGCTTTCAAAAGCCAATAGAATAAAAGGGAGTAGCACAGCTAAGGAAAAAGGGGGAAAAAATGGCAGACTGCGTTGTTTGGCGACCCCCGTGAAATGGTCGTTCGACCCCAAATGGGGTCCCCACCCACAGGTTGAGAACCACTGCATTAGACCAAGCTGGCTAGGAATGAAGTCCAGAGTGGTATAAATGTGATATTGTATGTCTGTTATCCCAACCTGTTTTTTTTTTTTTTAACGAATTACTCCACTTCCTATCATTTCTACAATAGTGACTGGAAATTTAATTCCTTACTGTGCAGACGAATAGATCTGCAAGTCACCGCCCTAAGGGGAGACTCCGCTAGGAAGGAAGGGAGGCCTGTTGAATGCAGCAGAATTTATGTCAGGTATTTTATTCATGCATTACTCAGTGTATCAATTCTGCATCGTTTGTGGGCAACAGCTGATATAACGGATTGTTTTCCTTGCAACTCACAGTTTGGAAAACGAGCTCCTTTTAAGCGTTGCACAAGATTGGGAAGCCTTCCTGGTTGCAGAAGGGAAGAAGATCCAGAGAACTTCACAAGATCCCTGCTTGGGATCTTCCAGAGAGACAGACGAGCAGTCCCCAACTTATGACCACATTGGGGACTAGTAATATTTGTTGTAAAACAGTGAGGTTGCAAAGTGAGTCATCACATGACCTTACATTGACTTTGCTTGCCAGAAGCCGGGTGGAAGGTCACCAATGGCGATTCTCACACACACACACACACACACACACACACACACACACACACACGGATGCTGCAGTGGTTGTTAAGAGTGAGGTCCGGCTGTGAGTCACTTATTTTTAGTATCCTTGTAACTTTGAATCATTGTTAAACAAATGGTCGTAAATTGAGGATGACGTAAATTGAGGGCTCCATTTGACATCCTTAGATGTGTCTCATAATTTGGCTTTTTTTTTCAGGAGAGGTCACCTGAATGGGGTAGAGCTATTGGGACTTAGTTTTGCACAAACTGTCCGCCCCATCCCCTAATTTAACAACTGCAGTGATTCAATTTAACAACGGTGGCAAGAAAGGCCGTAAAACGGGGCAAACTCACCTAAACGTCTCACTTAACAACAGGAATGTTGGACTCGATTGTGGTCATAAGCTGAGGACTACCTGGGCCTGGAGATCAAATTCTCCTGGATCTGTAGGGGTTTTTTTTTGTTTTGTTTTGTTTTTGCTCCTTTCCATCTGTGCAGAATTAAGCCAAACATTCTTCTTCCCTGGAGACTAGTGCTCCTGAGCATACACAGAGTCTCTTTTATTGCAGAATCCTTTTGCCAGGCTCTGGAGGAGGGCAACTCTCCCGAGGAGTTTTCCAGAGAGAGAAATCTGGACCGGGAGGAAGGCTTTGGAGAAAGCAAACTTACTTTCCATCCCTTCCAGTAAACAAGTCAGCTATAAAAAAAAAAAAAAAAGCTATTCTAGAGAAATCAGAAAGGGATTCTCGAGCAACTCAAGCACAAGGCAGAAAACCGGCAGCCTCTTTTGCAGGGAGAAAACTTCCCAGATCCCTGAGGGGTGCATTTCAGCCCAGCGGGATTCACAGGGCTGTTTTAGTGAGAAAGGACACCTTGTCTTCATCAAGACAACAGTCCACAGATGGAAGCTCATCACTTCTGGACTTGGGGTTCCTTCCCTCTTGGGGAGGACTGCTCAGGTTGAGTTGGGTCCAGGGTTCAAATGCAGCTTTCCTGCAAGGGGGAAGGGGCGTGCCCATTGATTGATTAAAGGCAGGCAGTAGAGGGTCTCCCCACCCCTCCAAAGGAGGACCACCTCCCCACTTGGCCAACTTTTGCATCCCAGAGTTTTCTAGATCCACTCTGAGGGGCTTCCTCGGAAGTAAATCTCAGCCAGGAGCCACAGCCTGGCCTCTCACCTCCCCCAGTCCCTTTATTCCCAGCAACTGGGGAGGAGGACCCCAAAACCTTCCTTCTTTCAACCCTTACCAGTTTGGGTCACGAAAACAAGCCAGCTCAGAGAGCACCAAGGGCCCCTCAAGTTCAATCAAGGAGAACCTTGATTGGATCCCAGGGGATCCCACGGCAAAACAAGATCTGGGGTAGGCTGGAGAAAGCCTTTCAGCAGGTAAATCAATAAGAAATGGAGCGAAAGAGGTTTTTTGCCCCAACCATCCCTTGCTGGACCCGAAGATGCTTGGAAAGCATCTTTGGACCATCTATGGACCGCTCATCGCCCGGGTACCAAATCAGGGGAGCAGCAGCTTGGGGGGACCCACAGCAGCCCCTCTGCAAAGGGCTCCTTTCCCATCTCTCCATCCATCGATCCATCTTTCTCTCTTTCTCTCTCTCTCTCTCTCTCTCCCCCCCCCCCCCAAAGGCGAGAAGGAGGAAGGAATCGGGGAAAAAGAACTGCAGCGAGACGGCGGCGAGTGAGTGAGCGAGAGGCGCAGCCAATCCGGACGGGCCGTTCCGAAGTTTGCCTTTTATGGCGAGAGCCGCGGCGGCCGGCCCGTATAAAACCCGGCGCGCGGCGGCCGAGCGCGCAGTCGTCAGGCGCCCCTTCGGTCCTCTTTGTCCGCCGCTGGATCGCTCAGCCGCCTCGCTTGCGCCGGTCTCCCTCCCCCCGCCCGAAGGGTCTCCAGGAAAAGAAGCGCCGCCGAGCCTTTCGAAGCAGCCGCCTCCCCCCGAAAGGTAAGCCGGGCCGAGGGGGAGGAGGAGAGGCAGGCGCACCTGCCTGGCTGGCTTGCAAACCGTGGCGGGGATGCCTGCAATGCTGGGGAGGGTCTTGGGGGGCTGGGGGAGGGCGCTGGGCTGTTTGGGGGGGGGCTGGCTTGCGCCTTTGCAAGGAGGGGGTTCGACCCTCCCCTCCCGGGTCCCTGGGGTTTTGGAGAGACTCCGCGCTCCTGGAGGCCGCGCAAGGATTTGGAGAGCCCCCCCCGGATGGAGTTTGGGGTGCGCCTCTGCCCTGCCAGGCGTGCATATATGGGGGGCTCCGGCTGGTACTGGGGGCACAGGGGTCCGGACGGAGGGGGGGAAGGTGCAAAGGTGGGGGTTGCAGGGGACCCCCCCCCTTAAACGCTTATGTGGTCTGGGGGCGCGCCGGCCGGCCCGGAGCGGGACCCCCGGGGCTTGGAAGCGGCCTCGCAATGCTGGCCTGTTGGAAAGGAGGGGGGTCAGCCAGGCACTGAGTTCGAATTGAAAGGAGGCGGCTGGTCGCTCCCGGTTTGGCGGGGCTCCGCTGCTTAACGGCTTTAAGGGAGGGGGAGACGGAAGGGGGGGTGCCCCCCATCCCCGACAGGACTGAAGGTTTTCCGGGGGCCAAAGTCGGCTTTTCTATTGTAAGAGCACGTGGGTGGAGAAGGGCGAGGAGGAAGAGGGGGGGGTAATCGATCAATCATAAGCAAGTCTTGAAGGTCTCTTTGTTTCGTGGGTCTGTTGGCTGGGGCGTGCGGGGGGGGGTTGAACTCCCTTAAGGGTTTTGATGCCCCCCACCCTCAGGAAATGCTGCAGAATATCCGTCTGGGGCGCCTCTCCTCTCGTTCCAGCCCTCCCAATTGCATGTTTGGGAAGGTGTCAAACTAGCAAGCGGCTAGTCCTCATTAAACGGAGGAGGAAGGGTCGTAAGCCCTCGTGTTGGAGGGGAGATTTTGTTTGTTTGTTTTCTTAAAGAAAAGTCCTTTCAGTTCAAGCATCCTCCGGCATGGGGTGTACCTGCTCTTGTTCTCTCTCTCTCCCCCCCCCCCTTGCGCCCACTTTGGGCCTGGAATTGTTTTCTCTCGGGGTTCATCCGGACCTTGCAAAGGGAATGCCTAGCCCCCGTTGATCCTGAGCTAATCCAGATCGCGCGCCCCCTCTTTTTTTTGGGGGGGGGAGAGAGAAAAGACAGGGTCTTCCCGTGGGACAGACAGCCTCGTGCACTTGGGCGTGGGCGTGCCTCGCCTGGCTAGCTTTTGCAAGCAGCAACCCAGCCAGGTTGGGTAGCTAAGCCTTAGGAGCCTCCCCCCCAAAGCTGGTGAGCATGCAGTCTGGGGGGGGGGGTCCCCTCCTGCTTAGCGGGTCTTGCCTGGACGGATTAGGCAGGGAGGGGGGAGTGAGGAGCTGGCCTTTGGGCGTGGCCATGGCCCCCTCCTTGCGGGGCGGGGGGGGGGGCTGGTGGGCTGGCAGGGCGTGGCTAAGCGCCGGGAAGAAATCTGGCTGCCGGCTGCATCTTCACGATTGCCTTTTATGGTAATAGTGCGAGCCGGCAGGCAGCACCGTTCAGCTTCCGAAGGCTGCCCGAGAGCGTCGGGCGCGCCACCTAGTGGCCGCTGGAGGCATAGGGAAGAAGTAGGCAAAGAGGAAGTGGGTGGGGCCCTGACTGCTGGCTTTGCTGTTGCTCAGCTGTTCCTTCAATGGTCTTCCTCCCCAATTCCCAGATCACCATGGATGATGATATTGCAGCGCTCGTGGTTGACAATGGCTCCGGCATGTGCAAAGCCGGCTTCGCAGGAGATGATGCGCCCAGAGCCGTCTTCCCCTCCATCGTGGGTCGCCCCAGACATCAGGTACGTCCCTGGATCCTCCAGTCTTGGTTTGCAGCTCTTTCCGAGCCAGGGAGTATGGAAATAAGATTGGGCAAGTTGCTAGACCTCAAGGACTCCTTTCTAACCTTCCTGGACAGCAGGTTCTCACAGTCTTGCAGATGGGACCTAGGTTTATCCTTGTTTGGTCCCTGAGTTGATCTTCCTTGTCTCTCTGCCCATTCTTAGTGTATCTCATCTTGACCTTTTCTTGACCAATTTGGAATCCAGGAAACAAATGGAAGGAAAACCCGAGCAGGTTCACTTCTCAAAATCTGTTTTCACCAAGGTTTCTTGTACAAGCCATGACTGGTGTGGCATGCCACCCTCTAAACCGTAGTTTGCAATTTACAGGCAGGCTTCTGTGCCAACTTTGAACAAACTATTACTTTACTATGATGCCACAAAGAGTCTAGCTCTCCTGTGCCTGAAACTAAAGATGAGTGAGTGGACTTCCCCTCCTGTCGGAATTTTAGGAATCCAGGAATTGTTGGGAGGGGAATTCTGGGTGTTGAAGTCCACCCATCTTCAAGGCATTGAGAAACCTGGCTTAAACCTTACAAGGGTTCCTTATGTCCCAGAAATGTTTTTTTTTCTCCAAAAGGCAATTGGACTTTCTTGTTTTGTTTTTTTAAACATTTCACTTCACATTCAAGAAGCTTCTTCGCTTCTAATGATTTTCAAAGAGAAAACAAGTCCAGTTCCCTTTTGGGGGAAAAGAAAATCCCTTTGGGGGATGGTTGAGAATCTCCATAGACAAAAGGTGCCTTAACACATCCATCCAAATGTTAGGTTTAAAACCTTTGACTAAGTTGTGTTGGCTTGAGCCGGCCATCTGCCCAGGGCTTTGTCAATGGGCTGTGTGGCTATTTTATTTCAAAGTCTTGATCTTCCTCTCTCCACAGGGTGTGATGGTTGGGATGGGCCAAAAAGACAGCTATGTTGGAGACGAGGCGCAGAGCAAGAGAGGCATCCTGACCTTGAAGTATCCTATTGAACATGGCATTGTCACCAACTGGGATGACATGGAGAAGATTTGGCACCACACCTTCTACAATGAACTCAGAGTCGCCCCGGAAGAGCATCCCGTGTTGTTGACAGAAGCCCCCCTGAACCCCAAGGCCAACAGAGAGAAGATGACTCAGGTGTGTATTTGCATGTGGTCCCTTGCAAACCTGCCCAGCATTTCGCCTCTATACTTTTTTGCTTTCTTCTCCTGCCTACAAAAAGGATACTTTGCAATCTTTTCGTTCTCTTTGTTCATCTTTTTTCTTCCTTTCTTTCTTCCTTTTATTCCCCCAGCTCTGCAGGATTTTCTTTTCTGATCTGAATCTTCTCTTGCTGGATCTGGAAAGGTTTTTATCTGCTCTTTCAAATAAAAAAAAAAACGGCTTTCTCTCTTCTGTTTGTGTATTCGGCTTGTGAGCATCACTGCTTCTTCTTTCTCACACTCTTTCTTTGTCTCTTCTCCCCCCCCCCAATAAAATACTAACTTTGGCTTGTTCTGAGTGATTTCTATCATGCTTTCTTAAAATTGTAAAACTGAAAATTTGCCCAATACGGAAAGGGTGTGGTTTGCCTTAACACCTGCAATGAAGGTTTGTATCTGTCCAGCATGTGTTAGATTTTTCCAGTGGTGTTTTCTGCGCATGGTGTTGATGGGGCCTTCTGTTGGCCACGATCTTCACGGCCCTCTCTCTCCTCCCATCTAGATCATGTTTGAGACTTTCAACACCCCAGCCATGTACGTTGCCATCCAGGCTGTGCTCTCCCTCTACGCCTCTGGCCGTACCACCGGCATTGTGATGGACTCTGGTGATGGTGTCACCCACACTGTGCCCATCTACGAAGGTTATGCCTTGCCCCACGCCATCCTCCGTCTGGACCTGGCTGGCCGCGACTTGACCGACTACCTCATGAAGATCTTGACCGAGAGAGGCTACAGTTTCACCACCACAGCCGAACGAGAAATTGTGCGTGACATCAAGGAGAAGCTGTGCTACGTTGCCCTGGACTTTGAGCAGGAGATGGCCACCGCAGCGTCCAGTTCCTCTCTGGAGAAAAGCTACGAACTGCCCGATGGACAGGTGATCACCATCGGCAACGAGCGGTTTAGGTGCCCGGAAGCTCTCTTCCAGCCATCTTTCTTGGGTAAGTCCTGAAGGACCACGATCTTCAAGTAGAATCTGAACTTGGGTCGAATGGCCATCTTGAAGGCTCTATGTGGTGTCTAGTTGTCTTCATGGCGGGCATCTTCTCTTGGCAGGTATGGAATCCTGTGGCATCCACGAAACCACCTTCAACTCCATCATGAAGTGTGATGTTGACATCCGCAAAGATCTGTATGCCAACACTGTCCTCTCTGGTGGCACCACCATGTACCCTGGCATTGCCGACAGGATGCAGAAGGAAATCACCGCCCTGGCACCCAGCACGATGAAAATCAAGGTAAGACTTCAGCCTGAACGACGTGGAGATGGGGGCCGGGTTGAGTGTGGTTCTACAAGCGTGGCTTTGTGATGGCCACAAGCAGCAAGCTTGGGTTTAACAACCACAATTTGGCTCTCCCTCTTCTATAGAGGGAAAGCTTGCGTGTCCCCCAAGTTGCTTGATAATTTATGGAGGTGTTTGGGGCAAAAAATTGGGAAGCAGTAGTCTGGACCCACCCATTTTTTGAAATAGGAACATTGGATCTTAAGGACCAGTAACTTGATTCTGCCTTAGTTCTAAGTTCTGATTGCTTCCTCTTTTCTTCCTATAGATCATTGCCCCACCTGAGCGTAAATACTCAGTCTGGATCGGAGGGTCCATCCTGGCCTCCCTCTCCACCTTCCAGCAGATGTGGATCAGCAAGCAGGAATACGACGAATCCGGACCATCCATCGTCCATCGCAAATGCTTCTAAAGCAGGACTTAGTTACCACCATAGCATTTTTTTTCCTCTTTTTTTTTTTTTGACCAAAAAAAAAAAAAATCCCCATAACTGCGCATAAGCGAAAAAGTTTTTTGAGAATTGGCATGGCTTTTGTTTGTTCATTTGGCGCTTGACTCAGGATATAAAAACTGGAACAGTGAGAGAAAAAGGTTTTGTGATGGCGGCAGCCTTTATTAATAAAAAAAATGCAAAAAAAAAAGTTGGAGCGAACACCACCCCCTCTCTGACCCCTCCCCCACCAACCTCCCCCCTCCCCAGTTCTGCAGTGCATCTGAGGACCTTGATTGTATGTGTGTTGTTTTTGAAAACGATAAAGTCATTCCAAATAGTGTCTAACGCATTGAGAGGAAGTTAAACCAGCCTCAGTGAAGGCAGCAGCCCAGCTCTTTCCAAAGAGCAGGAAACAGATTTTTTGAGGTTTATTTTTTTTTAATAGAAAGTATTAGCTTGTATGTGAATCATGATTCAAGTGTCTCTGTCTCTTGCGCCTTAAAACAAAACTTAAAAAAAAATAGCCACACTTGATTGTCATCTTTGGGTGTTTTTTTTTTAAAATTAAGATTATTTTGGGTCAAAAAAAAAGGGTGGCTGCGTGTGGTTTCTCTTCTTCCCAATGGACCGTGTGAAGGGTTTTACAGTCTCCTCCCTTCTATATCCCCCCCCCACTTCCCAAAGGGAAGCACTATTTGCACCCTTTTGATGCCAGTATGTATAAGGGGTACCAGGGCAGAGGGAGGGGAAGGCAAAACTACACACTGACTCGAAAAAGAAAAAAAAATACCCAGTTTCAAATAAAGATGCACAACCATAACTGTGGATTGTTTGGTTTTTATCAAGTCAACAGGTATCGTTCAACATTTGAATTGGTGGATGGGAACTTGGCACAAAGTGGACTCTACTCACTTGTCCTTTGAGAATCTGCTGCTTTAGACTCTTTTTCCCAAGCTCCCTCTTTACTCAACTTTTGTGGACTTTTAACTCCAGAATTCCCTAGGCAACATGGTTTGGGAATTCTGGGAGTTAAAAGTCCCACAAGTCTTGAAAGTTGACAAGGTTGGAGACCCCGGCCTCAAAGGATGTATTTATCCCAAATAAATGGGGACCTAGATTAGTTCTTCACACTTGCAACTGAGCCACCAAAGCCCCGATTTGGACTACCAGCAGCTAGCCATGTTGGCTGCTGCTTTCTTTTTAAGATGGCCGGAGAATGGAATAGTATTTTGGATTTTATGCCTCTTAATTATTTTGTAAGTAACTCAAGACAGCAAACCCACCTTTTCTTAACAACCCTGTTAGAGGGTCAATCTAAAACTTAATTTTGAAGCCTGGCAATTTGAAGATGGATGGGCTTTAATTCAACAGAATCCCTCCTTCAAAGATTTCCAGGAGTTGAAATCCATGCATGGCTGGCTGGGAGTTGAACATCTTCAAGTGAAAAAACACTTCTAAAAGCTGAAGAGCAAAACCAGCAATTCCTGTTAGAGCTTCAGTTGCTTATCTCTTCTAAGCAATATTCCAATTATCTTTATACAAAACATTCTGTAGACAGTTTTGGCAAACTGCAGCTCATCAAGTTGGCATTAGGGCAGGACATAATTTCACAGGTGATAAAACCCATAGCTTGCAAGAGCCTGTGGTGGCATCCCCACAATCCATGATGTCCAATACAACCAGTATCATTTTAGCCATTGTCAACAATTGCAGGATGAAGGCGTCTTCCGCATGTTTCCAACCAATAACAGTCCTGAGCCATGTTTTTCAAACTTGGCAATTGGAAGAGGGCTGGGCCTCAACTCCCAGGATTCCCCCTGCTGTAAATGGTGATGGGGAGTTCTGAGAGTTGCAGTCTATGGATACTGGTGAAGGAATTCTGGGAGTTGAGGTCTTGTGTATGTTGGAGAGGGAATTCTGGGAGCTGAAGCCCACCCAGCCTCAAGCTCCTAACTTCGAAAAAACACGCATGTGGGAGCAAGCTGGCTTTGAAATGGCCATTGCACAGGCTTGGAAACCCCAAGATCAGGATTTGCAGGCAGCCTTCGGACCCTCGCGTGCAGCTTGCAGGGGAGCCCCCCAAATCCAAATGCACGGATCGCGGGGTCCCCCCCTCCAGGTTGCAAAAACCCGGACAGTTTCTTTGTTTTCTCCCCTATGCCCCCCCCCAGTGCTGCCTGATTGGAACGCTCCGGCTCCAGGAGGCCACGCCCATCATGGCGCTGCCGCCCGCGGCGCCTCACCCAAGATGGCAGCCCAGACGGAGCTCAGGAGCGGAAGTGAGGTCACGAGCGCGCCGGAGGTCCGCGTCGCTTCGGCGTGCCGGCTGGAGGGGAACCGTATGAGGCTGGCGACGGAGGGAAGAGCCTCTCAGCTGGCTCGGACGGGGGTGTTTGCCCGACCATGGCCGCCTCCTCCGGAGAGGTAAGCCCGGCGCTTCGGCCTTAGTGCTCCGCCTTTCCCGCAAGCCTCGGCGTCTCCATGGCAACCCCTGACTCGCAGGGCACGTCTGAACGCGGAAGGAGGCCGCGTGTCAGGGCAGGCGGTGCCGCGCGGGATGTTGTTGGGCGGTCGCAGACGCGGTTTGGAGGGCCTGAGTCGCGGGGCGGTCTCGTTTCTGACATGGGTCCCTGTGGCTTTGGAGGCCCAATGGGGCTGGGGGGTTAGTATTTTCTGCAGGCCGGCGACTGCTGAGGGACCGTCTTGCCCCCTTCCGGGTGTGCCGGCCGCCTTTCTTATGACCTCCCACCAGCTGCTTGGACATTGCTTGTTAAGGGCGTTCGAGACTGCCTTTAGGGGACCATCTCTCCCATCGTCCACAGCCTGCCGGGCCAATAGGCCTTACCATGGTCTGGCCTTCCCTTCCTCGTCCAGGTTTCTGAAAGGGAGGAAACGCAGGGTAGGAAGAATGGAGAGTCGGGCCAGCAGGCAAGCATACAATAAGAGTTGATGATGGAAGGAAGGAAGGAAGGAAGGAACCAAAAAAGAGAAAGAGAGAGAGGAAGGAAGGGAAAGAAAGAAGAAAGAAAAAGATTGGAAAAAAGGGAGGGAGGAAGGGAAAGAAAGAAAGAAAGATATTAATCTTGGAAAGCCAGTTTGGTTGTAGTGGTTAAGGCTAGAAGCCAAGAGACGGTGAGTTCTAGTCTCATTTCAGACACAAAGCCAGCTGGGTGACCAGTTGTGTCATTAAATCATCCACCAAGCTGTCTTTTTAGGGCAGAGTTCTAAAGATGGATAAACATGTAAAAATGATAGTAGTAATAATAATAATAACTTTATTGTCACTTTGAATGTACACCAATCGGCATACATCAAAATGAAATAGTGCAACAGTTCTCAGTTGATTGAGTACTTTGGTGATTCAGACCGATTTCTTCCCCAGCTTTTCATTCCTACTGTGTCTTTTCTGAGTCCTTGTTTTCCGCTTGCAGGACGTAACAAGTGTGGAGAACCGGGAGGAGAATATCGGCATGAACTTAATGGAGTTTTCAGATGAAATCCTCTTACACATCTTGCGATACACTCCTGTGTCAGATCTTGTCTTGAATGTCCGAAGGGTCTGTCGGAAACTCTCCGCCCTTAGTCTTGATAAAAGCCTCACTCATACCGTGATCCTGCATAAAGATTATCAGGTGAGCAGGGGCTGTCAAAGGCGGTTCAGAATTAGGAGATAGTTGGATGCACTGAGTATGGTGTGTATTTGCTGCCTGAAGTTTATAAAAATACTAAAGTGGGATATAAATAAATAATAAATAGAATAAACGCACCTAGCAGTGACTCTTGTTTGATTTGAAGAGATTTCAAGAGGCCTCTTAACATCAGAGAGGGCCTTTGGGTGGGTGGGAGGTAGGTAGGTAGATAGATACATAGATAGATAACCTTTATTGTCATTTTTTTACTGTGGGCACATTGGCACATATTAAAAATGAAATTTAGTTGCTCTCAAAGTGTACACATACACAACACACATTTAAACATGCTATATACAACATATGTATAAAAGTAGGGAAGGGAAGATTTTGGTGTTTCCACCAGAGTCAGTGGTGCTTACTTTTTCATGATTCTCTAGGACCTGCCCATGATCATAAAGTTCAGTCTTCCGTCCCTGGTTTTTATGCTCAAAACCAGGCCTGGCCTAACTGGGATCCTTTGAGCTCCTAAAGTTCTCCTTGATGGCTTCCATGCAGGTGGACAAAGACAAAGCGAAGCAGCTGATGAAGGAGATTGGGAAAGGCATCCAGGAGCTGGACATGACCGGCTGTTACTGGTTGCCTGGCTTGACCATCGATCAAGTGACCCGCTGCAAGAATTTGGTGAAGTTGAACCTGTCCGGCTGCCACCTCACCTCCCTTCGCCTCTCGAAGATGCTCTCTGCCTTGCAGCAGCTTCGCTCGTTGGCCATCGACGTGAATCCTGGGTTCGACGCCTCCCACTTGAGCAGTGAGTGCAAGGCCACCCTGAGCCGGGTGCTGGAGTTGAAACAGACCCTCTACACCCCGTCCTATGGGGTGGTGCCCTGCTGCACTAGCCTGGAGAAGCTGCTGTTGTACTTTGAGATCCTCGATCGATCCCGGGAGGGTTTAATCATCTCGGGACAGCTCATGGTGGGAGAGAGCAACGTGCCCCATTATCAGAATCTACGGGTCTTCTATGCCCGGCTGGCTCCCGGCCCGGTCAACCAGGAAGTGGTGAGGCTCTACTTGGCAGTGCTGAGTGACCGGACCCCGGAGAAGCTTCACGCCTTCCTCATCTCTGCCCCGGGTGGATTCGCCCAGAGCTGTGCCGTGAAAAACCTGTTGGATTCCATGGCCAGGAACGTGACCTTAGACGCCCTGCAGCTGCCTCGCTCCTGGATGAACGGTTCCAGCCTCTTGCAGCACTTGAAGTTTAGCAAGCCTTTTTATTTCAGCTTCAGCCGCTGCAGTCTGTCCGGTGGGCAGCTGGTCCAGCGGGTGCTGAACAGCGGCAAAGACCTGTGCACTTTGGTCAGCTTGAACCTGAGCGGCTGCGTCCACTGCCTGTCGCCCGATTCCTTGTTGCGGAAAGTGGAAGACGACATTGACAGTGGTATCGTGGAAGCCCTGGTGGATGCCTGCTGCAACTTGAGGCACCTCAACCTCTCCGCTGCCCACCATCACAGCCCCGAGGGCCTGGGCAAGCACCTTTGCCAGGTCCTGGCTCGTCTGAAAGGCCTCCTCTCCCTGGCCCTGCCTGTTTGCGCCGTGGCCGACAGGGCCGCAGCGATTGGCGACAGGCCTTCGGTGCAGCCGGTGGCTCACGCGGTCTCTCAAGGATTTGGGAAAAAGGTCCGGATTGGGGTGCAGACCTATCCCAGGAACTGCTTAGAACAGAGCAATCCCAGACCGCAATCCTCTGTCTTTTGGACTCTTCTGGAGTCTCTCCCCTTTCTGGAAAAATTGGAGCTGATCGGCTCCAGTTTTTCCTCGGCCATGCCCCGGAACGAGCCGGCCATTCGGAACTCGCTGCCCCCCTGCAGCCGGGCACAGCACATCGGGGACGCCGAGGTGGCTGCCATTGGCCAGCTGGCCTACCTTCAGAGCCTCACCTTGGCTCAGTTGCCCAATATCCTCACGGGCTCTGGGCTGGTTGACATTGGGGCGCAGTGCCAGCGCCTGCGGGCTCTGTCCTTGGCCAACCTGGGCCTGATGGGGAAGGTGATGTACGTGACGGCTCTCATGGACATGCTGAAGCACTGCAGGTGTTTGCAGGATCTCAGGTGAGAGAACCAAGCAGCTTTTCCCCCCTGTGCTTTTCCTGTTTTAGCAGCCAGGGATCCTTCGGTGTCACTGTCCCAAAGGA